GTATGGCTGTGAAAGTTGGATCATAAGGAAGGCTGAGCGCCAAAGTATTGAAACCTTTGAACTATGGTGCTGGAGAAGACTCCTGCGAGTTCCTTGGGCTGCAAGCAATCAAACCTGTCAGTCCTAGAGGAGATCAACCCTGGCTGCTCTTTAGAAGGCCATATCCTGAAGATGAAACTCAAATACTTTGGCCACCTAATGAGAAGCAAAGACTCACTGGAGAAGAGCCTAATGCTGGGAATGATTAAGGGCAAAAGAAGAAGGGGATGACAGAGAATGAGGTGGCTGGATGGAGTCACCAAAGCAGTAGGTGTGAGTTAAATGGACTCCAGAGGATGGTAGAGGACAGGAAGGCCTGAAGGAACATTGTCCATGGGGTCGCAATGGGTTGGACACAACTTCATAACAAACAACAACAAAATGTTTTTAATGTTGGGATATAAGCCATCCAGAGTATGGTATTTAGATGGGTCGCTATAGAAATGCGATAAACAAACAAACGAATGAATAACTTAGTTCTAGGAAAAAAATGCACTCTCTCTAAAAGATCAACTTTGTAGTTTTGGAATGTTTCTAGAGCAAAGTCTTCCTTTAGTATCCTCTGTACTACAAAGTTCCTTTTCAAACCTTAGACCAGAATAGGAGTTGAAGATCACACCTCTTAAAGTTCCCAGGTTTGAGAAACACGCCTTAGACCATATATAGCTTTCGGTTTTACCTTAAGAGAGATAATTCTGCCATAGTAATCCTGTGCATTGGAAATTTATACCAAACAATGCTTGGAAAATTTAGCAAATACACAATATTGAAGCAAGTGTAAGGAACTGGATGATGCCTGCAAGTACTGTACCACTTTTACATGATGCTCACTGGTCCCATATTTTTTAAAAAATTACCTTGACATATAGCTAAAAAATTATAAAGTCCTTCATAAATTGGGACTATAGTATCAGAAAGAACACCTCTTCCAGTTTGTTATCCTCGGGGGCTCTGATCCAGTTAGCTGATTGCTATCTATTATTTTCATTCTGGTATTCAAACAATTATTATTTTCCATGTTGTCTCATAGCAACCTTCCCACAAAATGAGAATGATGTCTGCTATCAGGCTCATAGTTAAGACAACATGACCCAGAATAAGAGGTAGGAATAAGGAAGGGACATGAAGGGGCCAGATCTTAAAAGGTCAGAGCAAATTTTAAGCCAAATTGTATTTGATGACAATTTGGATCTTCCATAGCTGGTATTTTGGCTCAGGTGTTAGTCACTTGTTCCTTATTTCCGGTCAAACTTCTGTACAATAGAAATACTGCCACTCCACTCCCCAGGCCTACAGAAATTGTCACTAGATTTGAATGTTCTAGGAAGTAGGGATGAAATGGTTTCCCTGCTCTTACTCCAGGTGATGTAAGATTTAAACATAGGATATTGGGTGGTAGATAGCATCAAACCTTTTGATAATAAATAGCTAAATCTACAACAAACCTGTTAAAAAAAGCAAGTCAAGAAAGTAAATATAAATGCAAGAAAGTAAATATAAAGCCTATACTTCTGGGAAATAGAGCTTTTAATGGGTTTTATGGCATTAGTCCAGGTTACTTGAGGGACCGTCTCACCCATTGGGATTAGTCCGTACCACTCGTGGTGGCAGAGGAGGCATGCTGCGGGTCCCGTCAGCCTGATTATTCTGTCTGGCGAGATCCAGGAGAGGAATTTTATAACTAAACAAGCAATTAAATAAATAGTTGTAAATCCAGATCATGTGACCATCGTTAGATGCAGTGATGCTGCAATAGCCACAGTTTGCAGATATAACTGGTGCAAAGATCCATAAAATTTCAATTACATGAGAACCTGAACAGATTCTTTATGTTAACGCCTTTGAGGTATCTTGATTCAAAAATTGTTATTCTGTGATGCACCCGTTTGTCCAATTGAAATTGGACTGGTCCATGCACCAGTTGAAGTTGAATGGAATCTGCCTGGCAAAAGTTACCATCTGCCATTTAGTTGTGAGTCCAAGAGAACTTCTAACTCATAAACCTACTCTTTCTGTGGTAGTGACTTTGTCCAGAATAATTCCCAGAACAGATGTTACAAGTTGTCACAATGTTTATTGATAATAAATGTCTTGGTAGTATTTAATCCAGTGTTGTTTTGCACCAGCCAGTCACTGGCTCATTTAACTCCTTAATACTTTGACACATGGAGCTGATTAACTTCATCTATCACATTAATCTATAATTTGGTTGTTTTAGCTTGTCTTATTAATCCAACCTTGTTCTTAGTTCACAAAACATGGCAAAACTAATTTTGATTTGCTACAATATGACAACCCATTCAGTAATTGAGACATTTTTATAGATGTTATAGCTCTGTGTATTGTTGTGCATAAGAACATTTCATTCTAGACTCTTTGATGAGCTGGCATACATATAAGTGTAATATACAAATAGCATTCTGTTTAAGGAGTAGAATATCATTGGTATAAATATGTCTTGTAGCGATGTAAATGTGAGGATTAAGTTGTGATGAAAAATAAATTTTGATTTATCTTTATTAAAATATTTATAGATGGCCTTAAGTCATAAGACTCTCAAGATGATATAAAGGACATTTTTAAACATTTTTAAGTAACAACTTTAAAAACAGAACTAAAATCTCTAATGAAATTAAAGTAGATAACAGTTCTTAAAAGACCAAAGGAGCAGAAAAGAAATGATTTTTCCTTCTAGCAGAAGTGGAGCAATGGAGAGGCTAATCTACCATCTCAAGATTCATTAAAAAGTTGGATTTGCACATGGCTTTTCTATCTTGATAAAATTATGAAATAAAGACCTTAAAAGGCTGTTTCCTAAGCATACAAATCACTGTTGGCAGCATATGAAGAATTTAGCTGTGCAATGTAATGAGAAGAATTTCTAATTCATTCGGTACAAAGAGATCTGATCAAAATGAGTGTATCCAACTTAACTCCTGCAGAAGAATGAGAGCTTATCTTTGGAACTTTGGAAAGTTTTAAATACATCCCAGAATTGTTACCAAGTAATGCTTGCTCAGCGTATCTTCTGAAATGCACAGGTATTCAGGACCGTGTGAATAAGTATTCTGAATCACAAAGCATGTTGTAATTCATACCTTTTTGACAGCTTCAGCAGTGTTTTACAGATATACTGTAAGCTGTATTACTTCATCAGATCCAAGTTATAATATACTAATGAACAATCTATTTTCAGCCTATGCTGTTCCAGTTTGTTACAGAACCAGCATATATAGGATAAAGGAATCTCTTCTGTGAAATGTGTTGATTTGATTCTACTTGTATATATTTAGGAGATTTACAGAAAACCTTTGGAGACAAATAGCTATTTGTGACATGTGCTATAGATTCCCATGTCATCAAACCTTACAATGGTCTGTGAAAATCTCATTGCTTTCGCATTTGGGAATTTGTCTGCTGACTGTCATGTTTTTTCAGTGTCTGACACAAACCACAAAGAGTAACCTTCCTTCTAAAATGTTGTTTTTACTTTTGCCCTATAACTTTCCCACTGTAATCTCTGATCAAGAGATTGAAGCCAAGGGTGGCCTAACCACTTGAGTTATCCTGTTATGTACCAATTAGTGGCAGTGACCAAGGTGTCTAAATTATGCACAGGAATTAAAATATTGAAAGCAAACTAGTAGCAAGGGCTCTATTTTGTGGATTGTTTAACATTTGATTCTGTAATTTCTAGACATTTTAAGTTAGCCTAGGGTGGATTTAAAATTTTAAAAAGGAACAACTGAAGCACATGTGATTTATTTACACCACTGCTTAAACAAGAGATTGTTATAGCAGTACTTGTTTTGTAATGTTGCTTTTTATTTTATAATAAAATAGGAAAAGTGCTGAAAATTGTTTTTTGATCGCTGTGCAGAGATTGTCTTTCTCAATATTTAGTCAATTTATTTTTGCACTCAAGATTTTAATCTAATTTTGTATGGCTGGTGTACGATTTCACCTGCGTTTTGCTGTGAATATATAGAAAGGCTATCCATGTTTAATGATTAATAAGGATTATTTCTCAGCTGAGTTGTTTTTTACGATTTTCTAGTATCTAAGTAAAGAGAAGATTATTTATTTGTTTCTTTATATTGGGGGAAATTGCCAATGTACTTGGAAAGCTGTAATTCTACTTCATAAAGAATGAAAAAAGACACAGCAAAGGAAGAAGGTGCTGTCATTCAGCATTTCTTGTCGGAATAAATACCTTGACCCCAATATGAAAAAAAAAATCAGAACTCAGAACTCAGTCTTACATTATAGACTATGTTCCTTAAATATCTTAAGTGAAATATCACATAGGTCTGCAGTGAATTTGTTCTCTGATTACAGTATTTACATTCATTGTAATGTGGCTGTGGAACACATTTGTCCAGCATTGGGGCCAAGGCTTTTGAATGTTTTCTTATTACAAGATATTTTTAGGGACATTATCCATAAGTTTGGTAAAGATGGAAAATTTACTCATGCAACCAATCTCTTAATGAGGAGACTGTATCTTCCCTCTACAGTAATAGTCAATGCATGTAAAATTACATATTTTAATATTTTTTGTGTGTGTCAAGGCTCAGTATAGCAGAATATTTTTATTTATAGTTGTATATGAAAAATCCAGGAATATCAACAACAATTTATTAAACTTGCATGCTACCTGATTATCAATGGCTCTGAGTATGCAGGAACACTCGCACTCACATAAACACACAATAAATGTGTGCACACATTTATTTTCAAATGGAATAATAAGCAAACATTTTCCTCTGTGTTCATAATTTATTTTCTGGGTTTTTTTTCATGCTGTGTGTTGTGTTGAATTCAGGCTATACTTCCTTTCAAGTAAATAGAGTAATAACTCTCTCTCTAATTTGCTATTTTGGCCAATCATAGTGATGTACCAAAGCTAAAACTGTTTCTTTGTTCTTTAAATTCAGTAGGATTTAACTATTCAGAAATATCTTCCCTATCTCTTATTTGTAAACATGTAAATTCAAACAATCCAGATTTGCAACCTAACAATCCATTGCATTTTTAAAAATGTCTTCATCTTTCTCTTCCATTTCATATACAACTAGCTGAATACCCGTGCTCCACTATGAAACTATGTGATCGGGCTTGATAAATCGACACTTACAGCTTGAAAATTAATGAGTAGTTATCATCGACCTCTCCTCTCCCCTTCTCTCCCTCAGGCTCCTCTCCAAACTCCCAGCCAGCAGAGCGAATGAGTCACGTGCTGGCCATCCCCACATCTAGGTTTTCAGGTTGGGAGGGGGAGAAGACCGTCTAACTCCTTAGCATCAAAGCGTGTTAATAATAATAATATACAAAATACTAATGCTCTGATGGTCATTTCAAAAAGCACCTAGAAGCCGAGAGGAACATGTGTGCCAAATTTCAAGTTTGTAAGCTTTATGGTTCTGGAGATTTCATGATTCCTGCGTGAGTGTTTTCGCGCTTATATATGTAGATAACTTCCTTGCTAACAAGGAAATCTCATCTTTGGTTCACAGGAATAGGCTTACCATACTATCTCAATGCAAGTCTTTACTATTCCCAAATTGTGCAGAATCAAGGCTTTCCCAAATATAATCACAGTACTTTAACAAAATTCATTAGCAGATTAGATGTTGTTTTCATTTCTGATTAAACCATAATATGTACTTATCCTTTAGACTGAAAATTCATCTACTTTTATGATTTCTAAACAAATGGGGATTAAAAGAAGACATGGGCTTGGAATGGGGGAAATGCAGTATGTTAGTACCTTGAGCATAGTGTTCTGGATGCTAGATGCTGCTTTTTGTGGCAATTGCAAGTCAGATAGAGAAAAGTTCTGATTAATTGATTGACTTCAATTAAAGAACAATTGCTTAAAGGATATTCAATATGTTAGAAGCCAACAGTCTTTCAAGAACTAGTTCTGCAAAAAGCAGGGAAAATAAATTAAAATCTCTAAATGCCCAATTCATTTTCACCTCTTTAACTGTCTGAATAATTCAAATCCACAACTAAAAGTGACACTATGTTTTTATTCATGGGTGTGAATGTGTGAGTAAATTAAAATTATAACTGAGGAAGCAAATTGATATGATCGTGTCAGACATGAAACAAGATTTTCAATGGAAAAATTGACAATTTGATTACTGTTTATAGAAAGAGACTGAGAAGAAAACACTCAACTAAAACTGGGTGATTGCCTACACTGGCTTTTAAATGAATAAGCTTAATTGTTAGGGCATCACAGTGGTATAAATGGAAGAACAAGATGTGTCACTTGTTACTACTGTCTAATGCTCAGCAAATAAGTGCAATATTATACATATAACCTACCAATATGAATACGTCTATTTATAAATGGCACAACTGTCACTGATTTGAGTTCTATTATTATTTTTGAGTTATTTACCTGAGATTGTGTGGTTGTGTTCCAAAATGTTTTTAGTTTGTAAGAGAATCAGTAGCATTATCAGGTCATAAGGCATATTCTTAGCCTCATCCTAAAATGTTTTTTTTTATACAGATCTACTGGAAAAGACTATCAGGAAGGAAGAAGAAATATGTACACTTCAGGTATTTTCATGAATTGGATTGTACTCAGTGGTGAGATTAAAATAATTTAACAACTGGTTCTGTGCCCTAATGACCGGTTGGATGGGCATGGGTGGGTGGGTGTGGACAAGGGGCATGACAGCACTCAGCCTCCTGCAGCACTCTGCTAGTCAATTACAAGCGGGAGTTACTTATAAAATGTGGACTTCGTTGTATGACATCCAGATCCATCAAGCAATGAGTGTGGACTGCAAAGAAAATACACTTTGTTATGATGAAATATCCCCAAAGTCAAATGTATACTAAATGTAGACTTTTAGCTACACATCTTCCCAGCAAACAGCAAATTTTGAAGCTCCAGGTAAAGAGGATTCATTTTAGGATGAGTAACCAACCAACTTTGCATGTTGGAGGTTCCTAAAGGAATGCTGGGAAACTCTGTAACATTTAAGGGAGGAGTGCAGAATAGCCCTTCTCTGCCTGAGTCTATAGATACCTGGCACCAATCAAAACACTGTTTGTAAAGCAACTGATCAACACAGACAAGATAAACCACTAGTATAAAAAAATAAGAGCAAACTCCACTCCCTTCTAGTACTGATGATATTACCTAGTTTGGAAATGAAACATCTGCAAGAAAACCATCCAGCTCAGAGAGCACCAAAGATCCAACAGTTCAACCCTGAGCTACAAATATTCTCTTCTATCAATAAACACTTTTTTGTTTAGAGAGACTCAGAGCCTGCCTTTAAGAGATGGCTCCCAGTGGATTTCATTCTAAATTAGAATAGAATAGAATAGAATAGCAGTTGGAAGGGACCTTGGAGGTCTTCTAGTCGAACCCCCTGCTTAGGCAGTAAACCCTGTATCACTTCAGACAAATGGATATCCAACTTCATCTTAAAAACTTCCAGTGTTGGAGCATTCACAACTTCTGGAGGCAAGTTGTTCCACTGATTAATTGTTCTAACTGTCAGGAAATTTCTCCTTGCTTCTCTCCTTGATTAGTTTCCACCCATTGCTTCTTGTTCTACCCTCAGGTGCCTTGGAGAATAGTTTGACTCCCTCTTCTTTGTGGCAACCCCTGAGATATTGGAACACTGCTATCATGTGTTCCCTAGTTCTTTTCATTAAACTAGACATACCCAATTCCTGCAACCGTTCTTCATATGTTTTAGCCTCCAGATGCCTCCTTCCAACTTGGAAGGTCTGACTGAACCTTTTTTAAATTGGTAGTCACATGGTCTTCTTTTGTTGCTCTGCAAACAGGAGAATGGAGCTGGAAAGTAGGTTAGTGAGGGAATGGTAGTTGCTCTGGAATGGGGTGGAAGTAAGGAATTTGCATTGTTGGGGGCAATATGCTGACTCTGTAAACCGTTAGAGAGGGCTGTAAAGCACAGTAAAGCGGTATATAAGTCAAAGTGCTATTGCTATTATGATGGCTCTGGAATGGGGTAGAAGTGAGGACTTAAAAACTGAACTTAAAAAAGTTTAGTCAGACCCTTCCAACTTTTGGGGGAGAAAAAGAACAAAGAGCAGAGGAGAACGGAGCTGGAAAGCAGGTTGCTCTGGGATGGGGTAGAACTGAAGATTTTGCATTATGATGGCTCTGGCATGGGGTGGAAGTGAGGATTTTGCATTATAATGCAAAGTCCTCACTTCCTTCCCATCCCAAAGCAACGATAATGCAAAATTCTCACTTCTGTGTGATTACCAGTTTAAAAAGAATTCAGTCAGACCTTCCAACTTCTCAGGGGAAAAAGATCTCACGAAGTTGGAAGGTCTAACTGAACTGACTGATCAGCCTTCCAGCTCATTGGTGCAGCCAATCTTTTGCTGCCTCCCAGCTGATCAGCGTGGCTACCAGTCATGCCCTTACATCCTCCCCCCCCACCGAATGGCAAGCCCGGTGTGTGGGGTGGGGCCAGCCAGTGGTGGAAACAACCAGTTTGCTGAACTACGCAAAAAAGTAACAACAGATTCGGCCAAATCAGTGCGAACCAGATGAATCCCACTACTGACTGTACTGTGATGCCTATTACTAGGAGGTAGAATGTAAGGCTTAGTAATATAATGTACCCCCCTGTAACCATCTAATTCAAAGTCATATCTTAATATATGCTACTTGAAACTAAAAACCCAGGATTACATTAGTTATCTGAATGTTTCCGAGCCCAGATTTAATTCCCTAGCCTAAGAGCCTGATGATATTTTTTAAAACAACATGTCTCAGCTAGATGGTACTTCCCCACATCCTACCTTTTAACCTTTACAGATTAAACTATGACTACCCCACAATACTTGTTTCACAAAGTGTTTCATTGTGGTTTGACAATGATGGCTCAGCACTTGGACTGGGTGAGTATTGGTTTCTGGTTGGAAGCCAATAATTATATAATAAAACCAACTTAAGCAGCTTGTAGAATTTCCCATGTGTTTTTAGAGTTTGCTGTTGACTATATCTATATCTGAGACCACAACTGAAATTTAGGTTGTTTTCCTGCGGCCTTTGGGTAATGGATCCAACCCATCAACAAAACAAGATTCCACCCACCCCCCCACATACACATATACATAACCAAAGCTGTATGTAATTTGTTTATTTGGGAAATTCACACACATTTACACACACACACACACACAGAGTTATATTGGCTTGTTAAGAACAGAACAGACAATATTGCTTCTGAAAAAAAAACTAAAAATCATTTCTTTAAAATATACAAATATAATATTAATATACTGTTTTCTGGCAGTAAGAAAAATTTCCATAGCATTTTTAAAAAATCTAGAAGATTGTTTTTGCTTTCAAAATCACTCTTTCTAGCAAGTTTCCATATTTATTTCTCTAATAGCTGCATAAAGGTTATATTTTAACTCTTTGCATTTTCTTACACATTAGTAAAATGTATTTGTAAAGGTTGAATTGTAAACTGAGAAGTTTAGTAATTTTTTTTTTCTTTCCTTTGACTTATACGTGTCACCATTTTATCAACACAGTTGAAGCTGTATTCAAGCAATCTGTCTTGTACCTTTGGTTTTTCCTGCCCAGGTGTAAAACCTTGTTTTTCTCTACATTAAATTTATTTTGTTGGCTAGGGTTCAAGTCTGTCAAGATCTTTTTGGATCCTGAGCTTGTCTTCTGAGATATTGGCTATTCCTGCCAGTTTAGTGTCATCTGCAAATTTGATGAGTTCCCTTTATATTCCCTCATCTAAGTCATTTATGAAGGTATTAAAGAATACTGGGCCTAAGACGGAACCTTGTGGTATCCCACTGCTTATTTCCCTCCATTCAGATGTAGTACCATTAAGGACTATCATTAAGTAAAAGTCTGTGGAGATTCTCAGTTTCCTTTGAGACATACTTGTTGAGTACAGTTTGTCAGTCGGTTATGAATCCATCTGGTGGTGATGCTGTCTATCCCACATTTTTTTAAGCTTACCAAGAAATAGATTGTGATCTACCTTGTCAAATGCCTCGCCGAAATCTAAATATACTATGTGTACATCATTTTGCTGGTCTACTGATTTAGCCACTTTGTCAAAGAATGAAATAAGATTGGTTTTGCATGATCTGCTTTTAATAAACCTGTGCTAGCTACTAATTATAACTTTATTTGTTTCTAGATGTTCACAGATTTATTTTTTGATTATTTATTCCAATATTTTTCCAGGTCTTGATGTTAGGCTGATTGATCTGTAGTTTCCTGGGTTTGTTTGTTCTTTTCCAATCCTCTGTTAGTTCCCAGGTGCTCCAAGATTTTTTAAAGATATGATGCAATGGTTCTGAGATTATACCTACCAGCTACTTCAGAACTCTGGGATGCAATCCATCAGGTCCCAGTGATTTATATTTGTCAAGTTAGACAGATGTTCTCTTTCCATTTTTTGCTTATTTTAATTTTTAGTTCTACTCTGTCTTTTACAGTTATGTTTTTGATATTTTGGCAATAGTTTTTTTGTGTGTGAAGACTGATGCAAAGAATGAGTTAAGCAGTTCTGTTTTCTCTCTGTTGCTTGTTACTTCCTTGCCATCTTTTTTCTTTAGTGGACCGATTGCTTCCTTGACTTTTTTGTTGTTATTTATATGTTGAAAAAAACTGTATTGTCTTTATCTTTATTATTATTTAGTATATTTAAACTGATACTTTTAAAAATTAAAAGAGGATCAAATATCCTATTTCAATTTGATTTTCATAAGCTGTGTCTTACTTTTGACTTCATGTGATCTGTCTCCTAGATAATTTATTATACTCAAAGTTATTTTCTGAATCTCTTCCAAGCTATTAACAGACCTCTTACCCAGAACTGTATCCAGGCTTCCTTCTGAGGTCTTATGAACACTGGATACAGCCACTATAATTAATTCCCAAATTTTGAAAGCAATATAAGCTGCAGTGGTGTTTAGTTTTTTCCATTCTAGCACATAGTCATAATGTTATTCTTTCTAACCTCTAAATCAGACAGACAGATAGACAGACTGACTGACTGAATGAATCAAGGTCACTCAAACTGCAAGGATATATAATATATACTTTTATTTTGTTGTGTATAGATTGAGCATGTATTTATTGAGCTATGTATGCAAGATTATGTGCAGTCATAACATTGTAAATATAAGAGCTAATATGCCAATTTCAGGTATTGGTAGTATAGTCTTGAATCTTACAACTTTAACACAGGACTTGTGCCAAGAAAATATATTGTATGTAGCTCTGGTTTGCAGTCCTTGGTGCTCTCTGGACTTGGTTGCTTGCTTACAGATGTTTTATTACCCAACTACATAGCATCATCAGTGCTAGTGAATGTGGGGTTTGCTCCCTATTTATCTACAGTAGCTTGCTGGTCCAGGGTTAGTGGCAGTGTGGTTTTCTTCTTGGTAATTCAAGCAAACAACTGTCTTTATGTAGTCCAAGGAAACAACCAAGATTAGAGAGCACCAAGGATTCCACAGAGATTGTAGAATGTGTTTTGTTGGTATTTTTATTGTTTAAGGATAGGTGGACTTCAGTCTTGCAGGAATTTTTGTTG